TCCAAATTTAGAAATCCCCAAAATCATCCAAATGAAAATCGGCTCCGATCAACTTGAAGCTCTCGTCAAGCTCATTAACTTTGCCTTCAATGGCAAAGTCCCAATCCTAAAAGAAGAAGGAGAATCGGAGGCTTGAAACTTGAGATTTGGAGAGAGAAAGAGTTTGTAGAGAGAGAAGGTGGAGCTCATAGAAAGAAGAAGAAGTGGCCAAAAATCAGATTTTTGTGGCCTTATATTATGCCTTGGTCAATGCGGGTCCCACTTTGACCCTTAAAATGTCTATTTCGCCACTTTTTGTATATACACATACTAAACACGTTACAATTATGAAATGAAACACACAACCAAATAGTTAAACTCCAAGTAATAAAATATGAAATGCAATGACTCCGATAATCCCGAGTAAGAAAAATCTGGGTACGGGACCCACTTAGGACCTCCCGGCCCGAAAATCTGAAAAATGCCTAAATGGCTCAAAATGCATTTCTAAAAGTTCTAAATTCAAAGAAATTTCCCAAATTACTCTCAGAACTTTTGTGGCACGCCAACAGGTGTGGCATACAAAATGAGGCAGGAAAAGAATTAAATTCGAAAACTCAAAAATGAAATTTGAGAAACGTCACAATTAGGTCATGCTTCTTTGCCTCGTGTCCAAACTTTAGTTTCTAAGGACTTGTTAGGTCAAGTTAAATTTAGAAATTTTGATTGCATTTCATGTCAACTAGGCAAACAACCTACATTACCTTTTGGTACAAGTGAATCACGTGCTTCTGCTCGTTTTGACCTTATTCACTCTGATGTTTGGGGACCTTCTCCTATATCTACCATGGCAGCTCACAGTATTTTGCAATATTTGTTGATATTTTTTACAATTTATGCAGATATTTTTGATAAAAAATCATTCTGAGTTGCTTGAAAAATATCGTAATTTTGCAAAAATGATTTTAACTCGATTTTCCAAAAATATATATATATATAAATAAATAAAAAAAATTCTGACAATGCTAAGGAATATAAATAAAAAAATTGCATTTTTACAAATACTCAAGCACACTATGCTCATTTACCTTTTCTTTTTCTACTCCTGCCTCTTTCCGAGGGGCAGCAGCTCTCACAACTGTATACACCATCAATCTTGTACTATCAGCTCTTCCGCATGACCAATCACCACATGAACTCCTACTTGGCAAACCACCTGACACAACCATCTTAGAGTTTTTGGGTGTGCCTATTTTGTTCTTTTCTAACTCCATGAACACACAAAATTGCAGCCACGTGTTCAACTTTGTTGTTTTCTTAGGTATAGAATTGGACATAAGGGGTATCAGTGCTATAAACCAATCTGTAAAATACTTAGAGTCTCTCATCATGTTGTATTTTGGAAACACAAGATATTTCATACATTGTCCAAATTGAATGTCCCTGACACTACATTTCTTATTCCTTCATTAAAATTCTCTACAAATCTTTTCCTGATCTCAACCTTCAAAATCATCAGGATCAGTCAACCCTCCCTCGACCGAGTCCCAATCTTCTGACCAATCCGAGGCTCCTGACAGCACAACTAATTCAAGTCTTCGCCAGTCCACTCGAGTAAGAGCTCCACCTACACATCTTAATGATTTTCATTGCTATCATTCCCTTGCAACCTTACATGAATGTCACACTTTTCGTGAGGCATCTTTTAACCCTTTATGGCAACAAGCAATGAAAAAGGAGTTAGATGCACTGACCAAAACTTAAACATGGGATTTGGTTGATTTACCTCATGGAAAGTCTACGGTATGATGTAAATGGATGTATAAGATCAAGACTCAGTCAGATGGGTTGTTAAGTGCTAAAAGGCCCAACTTGTAGCCAAAGGATTCACACAAAATTATGACATTGATTTTAAGGAGACATTTGCACATGTTACATGCCTTTCCTCTATTCTCACTCTTATTATTATGGTTGTTTCCTGTCACTGGGGTCTTTTTCAAATGGATGTTGAAAATGTCTTTCTCAATAGTGGTTTACTCGAGAAAGTTTACATGCAGCCTCATCCATCATCATCCTAATAAGGTGTGTCGACTTATATGTGCTATGTCTAGCCTTAAACAAGCACCTCGAGTGTGGTTTGCCAAATTTAGTGAGACTATCTCGTCTTGGATACTTTGCTAGCTGTTATAACTTAACTTTATTCTTCTGACACATAAATTGAAATATCATTCTTCTTTTACTTTATGTTGATGATATGATCATCACTGGAGATGATTTAATGGGAGAATTCAAGAGCTCAAACACTTCCTTAGTCGTCAATTCAAAATGAAGGATCTTGGACCCCTCATTATTTTTTTGGTCATCATATCACTTCAGTTACAGATGGTTACTACCTCACTCAGGCAAAATACATAGAAGATCTTATTTCAAAAGCAGGCTTAACTGACAGCAAGATTGTGGATACACCATTTGAGAACAACACAAGACTCAATGTACATGATAGCAAATCTCTTTGGGATGGTACATTGTATCAACAATTGATTGGTAGTCTGGTTTATCCCATTGTCACCTGTTCAAACATCTCTAATGTTGTCCACACAGTTAGTTAGTTCATGGATGTCCCTGCAGTTCTTTGCATCCTTCACTATCTCAAAGGCATTATGTTTCTTCTTAGTCATCATTTGTTATTTGTACCTATTCAGATGCAGACTGGGCAAGAGATCCTACTGATCGTTGTTCTACTAAGCTTTTTTACAGACTATGGTTGCTCAATCTAGCACAGAACTTGAATACATGGCACTTGTTGATACAACTTCTGAAATTTTGTGGTTGCGTTGGCTTCTTTGGGACATGGAATTTTCTTCATCCATTACCACTCCTATCTATTGTGATAATAGGAGTGCAATTCAGATTGCACACAATGATGTATTTCACAAGTGCACCAAACATATTGAGATTAATTGCCATTTTGTTCTTTAAAAGACCTTACAGTTGCGTTCCATTACTTCTCATGGTCAGATAGCAGATATCTTCACCAAATCGCTTCTGACAGGCCGCTTCAAGGATCTTGTTTCCAAACTCAAGATGGCTTCATATAACCCACCTTGACTTTGAGGGGGGTTGTTAGATTATATTGTATACAATCCTACGGTTTATCGTACCCGCCTTTTCCTACCCACTTGCAATACATAGATAACTTGTCCATCACTTACCTACCCTAACTTGTACAACACTCGCCTACCCTCGTTCCTCACCTATATATAGGTGTTTTATGTACATTTTATCTCATTCAATTTAATACATTACAGAGTTCTATATTCTTTCTATATTTTTAACACTATGTATACACCTTTCTTCCCCAAAAACCAATCTCTCTATATGTAAATATATATATATATATATATATATATATATATATATATATATCGTTCTATATATAGAATCTAACTGAATTCCTTTATGAACTACCTGCTCTTGCAATTCTTTCAAACTCTGGTAAATTTGACGGCTATAAACTTTGCAATCTCCGTGATTCGACACACATTACGTAGCCGTATCCTACAAGGACTAGTGCTATTGCAAATAGTTTTTAATTGAAAAGAATACCACGCTCTGGAATACATCATCACAACTACAACTAGGAAAATTACAGTCTTTTGAGATGCATAAAAAAGCGAACACACAGTTACCACATAAACCTTAGAGAGCAACAAAGTAGATCATACTAGAATCGCAAAGGACGAAGAAAAAGTCATCATTGCAAAACCACGCGAACACAAAAAAAAAACACCGATCGAGATCGCAATTGATCAAAAACAGGTGTGAATGTGATTAATACTACTTCCTTGCAAACAAATCCCATCTTAGAATCTCTTCAAAACCCTTCACACCCACTAGAGTTTACACAAACTTGCCCTAGGGTTCCAACTACATACCTAGAGCTTTACAAATCATGCTCTAGTATCATGTTGACTTTAAGAGATAATCAAATCAAGAGTAAAGTAAAAGAAGAATAAGAGAAAAAAGAAAGAACGAGGATGAGAGAGAAAGAGAAAGAAAAAGAGATGGGGAAAGAGAGAGAGAATGAAAGAATCCTTTAATCCATTCACCACATTTTATACTAACAAATTCATAAATTACACATAAGCCTCAACAATATATAAGTAATACAGTAACAAATAAGCACATGACAAATAGTATAAACATGAAATATAAGATATAAGTATATCAGTTGAACATGAAAATCATAAATGAGACGGTCACAAATAGAGTCTAATGGCCCTCCCAACTTCACAGGCTATCATTGAGGGGTTTATATATATATATAATAAAATAAAAATAAAAATAAAAATAAAAAAGAAAAAAAGGAGCAACATCCAACCATGAAATATACTCATTTTATGCTTATGAAAGATTCGAATCTTTAAATTTTTACTTTTTACTTTCGAAGGTCAGAAATACCACTGAGGCCATCATTAAATTTTTTTATTATATAAAACAAAACAACCAACCGCAGGACAAAAAATTCACTCATTTACCCAACTAAATTTTTTTATTATATAAAACAAAACAACCAACCGCATGACAAGAAATTCACTCATTCACCCAATTCACTTGAACCTTCAAATTTTTATCAAATTTTACTTTCGAAGATCAGAAGTAGACTAAACTACAATCATTGATATCATTAAGATATCAAAATGATGATAATAGTGGACCGGTGTGATCAATTCTTATGATACTAATTGATCAATAGAGAATAAAAACGACATCCTTTTTTCCCTTTTACCTTCTTTCTGTGTCTTTTTCGTGTCCAAGGAAAGTCTTGTTTGTTACTTCAGTTTCATGAGTAAAGCAATGTGTTTGTTATAAATTGAAAAAGGTACAGCAGTGGCATCCCAATCCATTGGGGCTTCACATGCTTCATGTGAAAATGTATAAATTATAAAATCTCTCTCTACATATATATGTGTGTGTATTATATTCTTCAAATTTTTCTAACACAGCTGAGCGAGAAAAAATTTACATGCGAGAAACCTGGTATATTTTTATTTGAAATTAGAGAGGACATTTACATCCAAGCGTAAATAGCTAGAAGACTTTTCCAGCAACTTACATATACATACATGAAATCAAGAAGTAAAAGACACGTCTATATAACCATTCCTTGACATATTTGTCGTTCCATCTGCTCAGCTATAGAGAAAGAACCATGCAGAGAGATAGTAGTGTTGTCTTCAGGTCCAAATTTGCACCTTGTTGGGGATAATTGAATTGAATTAACCAGAGACTTTCCAAAGCTCGACTGTACATACACTGCAAATTGAAGAGCCAAGAAAACAGTCATGCAAGTGAATTATATAGCCCATATCATGGTAAAAATCATATTGTCAAAAAAAAAAAAAAAAAAAAAAAATAGAATAAAATAAAATACAGGAAATAGATGTAATCATAAACTCACAGGAGCATAATAAAACACACTAAGATTATTTAGTCCCATGAACATTAGGTAACTTGGAAAACCCTCAAACCTCCAAACCCCCACCCTCAAAAGGCAATACAATAACGAAGCAACAATAGTAGTTCTTTCAATTTTCTTATAGAGTAGGAATCAAATAACGAACCCACCCATTCCTTCTAGACATGATACCTACAATTTGACCACTGCTCTACTATTGCTTCGACAGCTTAAATAAATGTTTTGAGTTTTGAACATGTCACGGACTAATCCTTCCATTTTTGAACCGTGACAGAAAAACATATACAACAATTTTTTTGTTTATGTAACAGTCAAAGTTTGGCGAAAAAATTCAAAGAGGTTCCCAGGAGTTTGGTGATATATAGACTGATGGGGGATTTAAAAGTTACGTTACTTTTTAGGTCGAACACAAAGGTTGAGAGCCATGCTTCGACAGGAAAGAGAAGATTCAATTAAGAGGGCCTTCTTGTGGCTAAGTTAATTTAGGGGTGATTCTTTCCTAAACACCTTAAAGTTGTCACTATTTCTGAATTCCTTCTAAACCTAGGAGTCACATTTAACTAAAGATCCGATGGCCAGATTGAAAAAAACTAGAAAAGAAAGTTGTAAAACCAAAAACAAAACAAGAGCCGCACAGCTTCTGTGGGACCCATGACACCCCTAGGTTCCCACACAACTATTTCTTCTTGCCTTCCTGGTGTTCATGAATTTAAAAAATTTAAAAAAACATTTTTCTCGCCTCCAACTTCTAAAATTCAACTTGACACTCCAATTCTCAGGATCCATGCATTGTTAAAAAAGTTTAGAAATATCATTTTAGGTGAATCACTTACATGCAGCCTGGCACTTATCAGACAGACACCTATCATGAATTGTTGGAAAGTTCTCGTCTCCTGCTTCCTAAATATCATGTCACACACAACCTTGGTTAACGTGATCAACTCTAGGGTTCTAATCCAAGTCACATTACTTACAGAAGGGATGGGTTTCTCTCAAGCTTTGCGTGCAAATTAACTGATCAAGAACAAATTCACCTGCAGTTCGCAGATCCACATGGAAGGAATTGTTCCATCAACTTCAAGCGTGCATAGGGGTGCTCAGATCAAGGTACTTAATACTGAACTACTCTTTTGTGAGACCATTACACAGAATTTTTAACTAACTGCATTATTTCTTATTACATTAAATCAATAATAAATAATTACATTTATATATTTATATGTACTCTTTGGATTGGACTTATTGAAGAAATAAGGGCAAAAAAATGTAATACATTAATATTATCATATATTAAGAGGAGAGCAAGTACAAATATATACACGGTGTACTCTAGAGACACTACTGCTCTCAAAACTTTTTAAACATTGGCGATCACATCTACTCCTGCTCCTGAAGAGGTTTTGACTCTTGATTAGAGATGAGAGTGGGGCAGCAGAGACTGTTAGTGGGACATTAGCTACTTTATAGGATGCAGGATAGAATAGGGGGGCACCCTGATGCAAAGGGCCTACATAAGAGAGAAGGGGGAAGGGGTACCACTACCTACTGGGTCTGGAGACTTTTAACGGGTGGATGTCACAGATGGTGAATCAATTTCTTCACGAATAGGAAGATTTTCTATTCAAAAGGATGAAATTTGAATAGCACTTCCACTCAGAGAGTTGGTAAGACCGCAACCCATGGCTTTGACAGAGAGTCACACAAGGTCACTAACTTGGACCTAAAGGGGAGTGAATAGGTCTCGTAAAACTAATTAACTCTTTTTAAATTTTTTTTTATAAGTATTTTAAATAATTTTTAAATTAAAACCGAATTAACTGAAATTCAATCTTAAAGATCTAGCATGTGGTAAAAACTTTAAGCATTTAAAGCAGTAAACAATAGACACAAGATCTTTACTTTAAACTTTCAAAAGAGAAAAATGTCGGGACCTAGTTCAAGCAAACCAAATCCACTATTAAGAAAGAATATTTACAACCTAGGTTGACAGGCTCTACCCCAAGAATCATTAAGTTAGCTCCTTGGCATAGAATACTCTACAAATTTTCTCTCAAAAAGTCTCCAGGCAGCTCTTCTGCTCACAACAGAGTTTTGCTCCTCACGAACCTACTTCTCTAGTGAAATCTGTCTCAACCACTCAGATGTCAATCCGGTTGTGGATTGTATAGTAGCGATGAAATGATATTTTGAGTATGCAACAATTGATGTCACACTCACCAACTCATGCAGATGAAGAATGTAAAACAAAATAGAGATGCACTCAAAACTCACAAAATCTGCTTTCAAAATGTTGTTCTATGTGTATGAGAGATCTCTATAAGTCTGCCCTAGTATCATGTATTTATAGACAGAAAAGTATTAGTGACAGGTTAGGTTATTGCAAAGTTTAAAACCAAGTTGGAAACTATTGTTTCGAACAGCTCGATCAATCGAGATTGACATATTGATGTCAATCGATCAACATCTCTCCAGAAGGCTTCGATCGATACCTCAACCCATCGAATTCTCCAGCAGGTTTTAACTTAAAACATTTTCTTTAAGAAAGTTTCCAAAATCTTTTCCATGCAAGTTTATAGCAATTTAGGGAATCTAATTAATTCAATTAACATAAACACCGAAACCTTAGATATGCAATTCAAGAGCCCTAATTGGTGAGTGCATCAGTGTGTCACTTTACCTTTACACCCTTGTAGAAAAGATTACCAATGTACCCTTGAATACATCACGAATCTCATATTTGACCTTGGGAGGTAACTAACACCAACTAACTTTTGAACAGTTTCAAAACTAAATTCAAACAAAACATAGACCTAGATTTGTTCTACAAAATTTGTCAACCTAAGCCCTAATGACCTAACCAAAAGACATGTCTAAATTAGCCGACAAAATTGAAATTAAACTTTAGGGCTCAAGTATTGTAGCAGATAAAAATGGGGTTACATGTTTGTCCCGTGTGAACTAACAATAGTAATTTTTTTTTTTTTTTGATAAGTGAACTAACAATAGTAATTAAAGGTTATAAAGGCACATGAAGAACAGCTTGAAGGACATGATTTATGAAGAATATACAGAGTAAGAGAAACATTTTTCTCAAGAACTCACACACTTGTAAAATCAAGCAAGCAACTCTGTTCTATACTCGTCAGCTCAACCAAATGCAGAGGACTCAACGAATCTCTGGCATTATGAAATACTTTGCTTTTAACAAAAAAAACATATAGGCTATATAGCTAACAGAAACAAATGCAAAAAAATGATAATGGAGACCACATGCAGAACCTGTACATTAAAACAATAAGATCAATGCAAGATTCTTCTTCTAGTCATCATGTGATATTTAATTATCAAAAAAAAATCATCATACAGGCATGCATAGGGATGTTCCAATAGTCTTGAGTCCACAAGGAGTAGTCCAGCATGACATGACATGAAGATCATCGTACTTCATACTGAACTACTCTTTCGTGAGACCATTGCATACAATTTTTTACTAACCGTGTCATCTTTTTATCACATTAAATCAATAATAAATAATTACATCTATATATTTAAATGTACTCTTTGGATTTGACTTATTGAAAAAAAAAATGGATAAAAAATTATATGTAATACATTAATATTACCATATATTAAGGAGATTAAGTACAAATATATACGCTGTGTACTCTAGAGAAACTACTGCTCTCAAAACTATTTAAACAATGAAGCTCTCATGGTACCACTTCCACTCTGAGGGTTGGTAAGACAGGAACCCAAGGCTCTGACAGATGCAAGTTCACTAACTTAGACCTAAAGGGGAGTGACTAGGCCTTGTAAATCTAATTAACTGTTTTAACTAATTTTAAATTTTTTATAAGTATTCTAATTAATTTTTAAATTTAAACAGAATTATCTGAAATTCAATCTTAAAGATCTAGCGTGCAGTAAAAGCTTTAAGCATTCCAAAGCATTTAAAGCAATAAACAGTGGCCACTAGATCTTTATGTGAAAATTCTAAAAGGAAAAATGACGGGACCTAGCCCAAGCAAACCAAATCCACTATCAAGAAAGAAGATTTATAACCTAGGTTGACAGACTCTACCCCAAGGATCATTAAGTTACCTCCCTTGGCATAGAATACTCTAAAAGTCTCCAGGCAGCTCTTCTCCTCATCAACAGAGTTTGCTCCTCACGAACCTACTTCTCTAGTGAAATCTGTCTCAAAACACTCAGATGTCAATCTGGTTGTGGATTGTACAGTAGCGTCGAAATGATCTTTTGTGTATGCAACAATTGGTGTCACATTCACCAACTCATGCAGATGAAGAATGTAAAACAAAATAGAGATGCACTCAAAATTCACAAAATCTGCTCTCAATATGTTGTTATAATTAGTGAGTGCATCAGTGTGTCACTTAACCTTTATACCCTTGTAGACAATGATTACCAATATACCCTTGAATACATCATGAATCTCATATTTGACCTTGGGAGGTAACTAACACCAACTAACTTTTGAACAGTTTCAAAACTAAATTAAAATAATATACAGACTCAACTTATTCTACAAAATTAGTCATCTCAAGTCTAATGACCTAACACACTCCATTAAATCAAACCAAAAGACATGTCTAAATTAGCCGACAAAATTGAAATTAAACCCTTTAGTTCACTCATAGAGGACTCGGAACTCGGAAGTAACGGCTTAAGTATTGTAGCAATTCACGAACCCTAATTGGTGAGTGCATCAGTGTGTCACTTTACCTTTACACCCTTGTAGACAAAGATTACCAATATACCCTTGAATGCATCACGAATCTCATATTTGACCTTGGGAGGTAACTAACACCAACTAACTTTTGAACGGTTTCAAAACTAAATTAAAACAAAATATAGACTCAGCTTTGTTCTACAAAATTTGTCATCCTAAGTCCTAATGACCTAACACACTCCATTAAATCGAACCAAAAGACATGTCTAAATTAGCCGACAAATTGAAATTAAACCCTCTAGGGCTTAAGTATTGTAGCAAATAAAAATGAGGTTACACGTTTGTGCCATGTGAACTAACAATAGAAATTAAAGGTTATAAAGGCACATGAAGAATAGCTTGAAGGACATGATTTATGGAGAATATACAGAGTAAGAGAAACATTTTTTTCTCAAGAACTCACACACTTGTAAAATCAAGCAAGCAAACTCTGTTCTACACACAGCTCAACCAAATGCAGAGGACTCAATGGATCTTTGGCATTATGACATACTTTGCTTTAAACAAAAAAAAACCATATAGCTAAAATCCCATTATAATTGATATAATAATGGAAGCTTAATTGACTTATAGCTAAAATTCCATTTGACTTCCAAAAGTAATTAATTCGGAAAAAAAAAATAAAAATAAAAATAAAAATAAAAATAAAAATAAAAAATTGTAAATACCCCTAAGAGTAATTAATTCGGAATTGGAATAAATTCAGTTTAAACCGAATCAGAGTTTTGGATTTGTTATCAGAGGATTCGGTGCTCCCAAACATTATTATATTAATTCAATAGAGGAAAAAAAAATAAAAAAAAATAAAAAAATCTCTAATATTCCCGCATGATTAATAAAAATGCATGAACCTTTTTTGTCAAAGCTTTTTGTAAAAGGGTGTTTAAAAAAAATATCTAAAACTATATATCAAATCTCCACTGGGGAGTCCTAGGAGCATGGGAAAGAGGATAAACTATAGTATTTGTGTGTCTGTCAAAAACAACAATAATATCATATATGCTTATAATTTCAAATTTAATTTACAGAGTACGAATCTGATCCCCAAATTAAAATTCCTGGCTCTGCCCATGAGTACATCGACCTAGAAAATCAACATCAAGCTAGCTACCGTCTCTTCAACACTTGGCCCAATATAATAGGGCATGACTAGGTCAATTTCCAGTGCCATCTATTATTTCTAAATAACAGCAACTGTTGCAATCACAACTTTACGTAAAATTTTCTGTCATAATAGCAACTGTTGCTATCACAAATTGACTCTGATTCAGTAAAATTAGTGTCTTGTCCACCTCCCTAGGTTTAAACCAGGGAATACATTTTTTTTTTTTTTTTTGCTGATAAGTTTAAACCATGCAGATGAGATTTGGTGTTCTGCTTCTAGTTAACATATCAAAGATACCAAGAACAACATAAAATTCTTTTAACTATATGTTATTTCAACCAAAACCTCAAACTACAATCAATCACAACAACATAAAATTCTTTCAATTTGTACCCAAGATTTACAACTTCGATCTCTTTGAAATTTCATCTCATATAAAGAATTAATACAAGTATCAAGCACCAGAAGGTCACGAAAAAAAAAAAACATACCATAAAGACTGTATAGTCCCAAAAGGAGTCATGAATCAAGCATGAAAATGTCACCATCTTCATCAACCGTAGCATCACTCTCCCTTTGCACCAAAGGGCTTGAAACCGAGTCTTCACTATTTCCAGCCGCCTCCAAACCACTCCCAATCTGCCCGTTACGCGAGGACGCCGACGAAGAAGACGACCGTATCCTTGCCTGAACAAACCCATTCCTTAACCTTGCATCATGAAAACCGCTCCCCTGATTGACACCCCATCCCTCCACGTGAAAATTCCCCAATCTCAACTCATACCGACACAAGGGACACGAATTGCTCCTACGAAGGAGCGGAACGAGACAATCTGGATGAAAAACATGCTTACAAGGCAATTGATTCACCTCTGAAAAAAATTCGAAGTCATTCGTACAGATTGAGCAGGATCTAGGGCAAGAATTGGATGAAGAAACAGCTAGAAATTTGAGGATTGGTAGCGAATCGATGAATGATTTGGAGGTAGGGGATGACCGGTTGCTTTGGTGTTCGTGGTGTTGATTGGCGATGCGATTGACGATGGAGTTCAAGTGGCCTTTGTTGTTGGAGTCGATGTTGTCGGAGGTGTGGAGTTGGTGGGTTCGGGTAGGGTTTGGAGGGTGAGAACCGTGTCTTGAGAAAGAAATTTGTATATGTGGTGTACGGTTTCGTCCGATAGTGGTGGAGCGGGCGTTGATGGTGATGGTGGAGCTGCCTTTGATGGTGGTGGTGGTGGTGGCGCCGTTGATGGTGGTGGTAGTGGCGCCGCCGTTGATGGTGGTGGTAGTGGCGCCGCCAGTGATAGTAAGGGTGGTGGTGGGGCCGCCGGTCGACATGTTGACGCGAGCTTGAAAAAGTGTGCGTGTGTGAGAGAGAGATAGAGTAAAAAAATAGTCTAATATTGAAATCTAAGCGGACTGGTTTTCGGTGACCCTCTATATATGGTAGAAGAGTTGCGTCAAGCTTACGTTCCAAAGAAACAAATTGGAACAATTTTAGGAAAGTTCTAATAATGACTATAAATATTATGGAAATATCAATGCAGATACCATTACGGCACAACACCTTAAAATAATATATATCTATATATATATATATATATATATAATATAAAAATAAAAATAAAAAGTTAAAATATACAAATATTACATAAAATAAAACTAACAACACTTATTTTTTATATTTAGAATAATAAAAACTCATGAGATTTAATAATATTCATTTATGTTAGGATTTAGTAATAATTCAAAACTTATTTTATTTTAGTATTATTTTGTTCATTTAATTTAAGTTCAATTATTATTATTTTTTCCTTAATTTTTTTTTTAATGAAGTCGAGTTTCTAAGTTTAGGCCAATCCAAATTCCGCGTAAAGTAAATCCACACAAAGTACCGCTATCTTACCAGTTCCTGTATTCCATAAATCTAAATCTATAAAGTTTGTATATATCAAATCATTTTAGCAGTCAAAACTTCCTATGCTGAAAGTATAGTATATCAAATCATTTTAACAGTTAAAACTTCCTAGTAAAGTATATTTTAACCATTGCTCTTATGCATATATCTCTACTAATACTCTTTCTTTGCATGACCCATGTTCGTGTGCATTAACTCTCAACATTCTTAGGAATGATACCCTAGAAGATATAGTGTGCACCATGGCTCTCATGGGTCCTGTATTCGCAAGGGCGGAGCCAGGATTTCAAAGTGGACTAGGCTAAGAGGAAAAATAGTATTGTATATGGAATGGGTTAAGAGAGAGTAATATTACAAATGGACCGGATTGTAAATTGATGTACAATAGTACCCAAAATAAAAAAAAAAATAAATACATAAAATAAAATAAAATAAATTCGAACCTAAGTTAGCCTTTTAGTAGCTCCACCCTGTGTATTTGGGGTGGGTTAAAGAATGATGAGCTCCCTTCAACCTACCTTTCAAACCTTAGTTTCCTGACAGGATAATTTTTGTGCAAACCCAATATTATTGTTGTGTGTGCATTCATCCAAATAAAAATAATTCTTTTTTATTTTTATTTTTTACACAATTATTTTTATAAACGAGCATGATGGCTTCATGGCACCCTAATTGTCATGATAGTCATGCATGCTCAATGACCCATGTAGGGGTCTCAATATCCTTGTTTTGACTACCAATAAAACGTTTCACAGTCATGATCTTTGTATTGCTCACACACTCACTTTATGTTTTCTAAAGTAATAAACTCCGGCTTTACTAAAAATCATTCAAAGCTCTTTTAAAAATTTGTTTTTAAAATTATCATTAAATTAATATATTTGATAAATAAAAAATCAAAAATCAAAAAATTTTCTTCTCACCTAAAATACATATATTTTAGGCATAGGTTTCTAAAATAACCTAGAGTAAATAAAAACCAAAAAAATATATTTGGAATCCTAAGATTCAAATATTTCAGGCAAAGGTCATTAAAAATCTAGCGTGCTATGTTTTCATAAAAACAAACCTCTGTTTTTCAATTCTAAGAAAACATTAAATTCTAAACTAAAAATTTAGTATCAAATTCCATATTAAACTAAAAGTCATATTTTCTAAAATAAAATTTCCATAAAAGTCATATGTCCTAAAATAAAATTTCCTTAAATAAGCTTTCCTAAAATTCATGCTTCTTAAAATAAATATTTTCCTAAAATAATATATCCATAAAAGTTATATTTTTTTAAATAAAACTTTTCTAAAATAAAGCCTTCCTAAAAGTAAGTTTCTTAAAATATATATTTTTTCTTAAAATATATTTTTAAGTTTTATTAATTATCATATATATATATTTTTAAATAGAATAGTTTAAAAGTAAGAACTCAAAGTCTTTTCCAAAAAGTATTCTTCCAAAAAAGTCTCTTTGAAAATTTAAATATCTTTTCGAAACTTATTCAAATGTAATACATCGTTTTCTTATAAATCTTATTCAAAAATTAAACTTTATCTTTCACAAAAATTAGACTCTGGCATATTACTTTCTTGAAAATCATATTTTTCAATTATAATGTCTCTCTCAATTTAAATTCTATTTTCAGAGCTCTCCAAGTCAAACACATGATTTTCTTACAAATCCATTAAATCACTCATATAATTTTCTTAAAGATCATTCTCACTTTAATTCAAATTCTATTTCTCACCAGGAAATTAAATCAATCATATGGTTTTCTTATAAATCATTCCCTTTTAGTTCCAATTATATTTCTTAAAATAAATTAAATAGACCACATGGTTTTATTAAAAATCTATTTCTTAAAATAAATTAAATCAAAATATGACTTTCTTAAAAGTCATTCTTTTTAATTCCAGTTCAAAAGTACTTTTTTTAAAAAGGTAAATTGCCAAAGTACTTCCTTTCTTAAAAGTTAAATTATTATTTTTTTTTAAGTCTCTATATAAGTTAGTCATACAAATTGAGTAAGTTTCCAATTTAAGCTAAGTCATCCCATCTAAGAAACCCTAGTTTCCACAATTCAAGTCACATGTAGATTTTCAATCCTCAGAGCATCTCTAGTAGTCTGTTAAAAAACTCTTTTGCATAAAATATACACGGCCAGTTATGATTTGCAAATTTTTTTCATCTCCAGCAGTCTGTTCAAATACACTGCCACATCACCAATGTGTAAAAGGGTTGTATATTTTATATCGCCCTTCTACACAGCCACATAAGCATATTTTCTATCTTCTCCTTCTTTCCCACTCGTAGTTTTCTTTCTTCTCTCTCATTCCTTTACGTCTCTTTGTTTCCCACTTTTAGAGCGCCATAAAGAAGAATCTGCAACTAGCAGCAAGGTAAGAACTGCTTGACTATCTTTTATTTTTTAATAAAAATAGTTTGATTCATTAATTTCGTTAAATCTTATCTTCTGCAATCATCGCCGTAAATTCTAGGGTGTTTTTTAGATTTTTTATCCTTTTTCTATTCTAATGAGATAAATATGTACTGGCCAAATATTAGATATATATTTTAATCATGATTTTATATAATTGTTATTTGATACAATTATATAAATTATTATTATTATTTCTTTTTTGGTGATGTAATACCCCTAGTTTTCAAAAGCATATAATTGAACTTTTAAATTTTTATTTCTTCTGCATTTTTATTTGATTATTATTTGGCTATATGTGTATTTGATTGATTGTTTATTTGGATTATGTGTTTTAATTGCGTGTTAAATTGTGGAAAATTTCTTGTAACGTATTCGTTAGTTTTAATTGATTAATTGTTTTATTTTTAATTTTATTGTTAATTTTAAAATGGAGTTGGATTTGGGACAGTAGTAATAAACCAACCGATTGAGTCACATAGACTACTTGGATAGGAGGATAAATGGATACAGTTTTACCCATGGATGGATATACATGTATATATGGGTATATATGTATTTTGGGTTAGTTTAATTATTAGAAATTGTTAATAATTAAATTAGTTTCATTATTTATATATATGTAATATAATGTGTTTGGGTATTCATTAAAATTGCCGACTTATATACATATATGTATTTTATATTTTTGTTCTGTTTTTCTTTGCCGACTCCTCACATGACTAGAATTAGGTTTTATTTGAAGCCTATAAATATATTATTATAAGTCTGCCTAAGGTTAAGAAAACCCTATTCACGTATATAGAGAATTCACGAACGGTAAAGTTTGAGGGAAAAACAGAGAGAGGGAAAGTTAGGGTTTGAATAGGAACAAGGGCTGAACCGAGGAGAGGTATTGGAAGGTTACTTGTGGGTTGAACCAGGAGCAATAAAGGAGTTGAGAATAGTTTCGGATTGCCAAAAAAATTAGGAAGACGACGTTAAGGTTTCAAAACTGAAATCAGAGGCAGGTTCTATTTTTTACTGTTTTCCTTTGACCTGTATTCTGTACATGTCTAAATAATCTCCAGGATTAAATTGGACTTTAAAACTGTTGTTGTATGCATGTAATTCAAACTTTAAACTTTATATGATATATTGATTAATTGAAATTTAATTGTTGATCAAAGTGTTTCGTATTTTGTTTAATTGTTGTTATGTTACATACTATTGTTGATCAAAGTGTTTCGTATTTTGTTTAATTGTTGTTATGTTACATACTATGTTTTAAAAAGTTTCTGGGATAGTTTTGGAACATGGGCGGACCTTTGGGGACCTAAACAAAACCTTATAGAGGGTTTTAAACATTGTTGGAGATGAAGACGACGACAGAAAATAGGGACAGAGCCGGCTCCCAAGGGGTTGGAGCCGGCTCCCTAAGTATTTTTATCCACGGCTCTCTGTAAGAGAGAGAACCGGCTCCATAGAATTAGGGAGCCAGCTCCCTTAGTCACTGAGCCGGCTCCTAAGGTTAGGGAGCTGGCTCCCTTGTGCGGGAGCTTGCTCTCTCATTTTTGAGAGCAACCTTTTTTGCATAGTAATTTTCAGGAATTGTTTATTTATTTATTTTTTTTTTTTTTTCACAGTTTTGATATTTTTGGGATTTCAGGACTGTTTGGGTTGGTAAATGAAATTCTAAATTATTTTCATGACATTTTAGGATCCCGTGATGCATAATCTTTATCTATATGCTATTGATTAGAACAGTATGGAAGTTTAAATAAATTTGCATGCTGTTAGTGGATATGGAGGATTAAATTGATTAATGTTATTTAGTGATTTAAACAACTAGGACATGATTTTTTTAAAATCTGTGTTGGATGCATACGGTTTTGATATTTTTGGGATTTCAGGACTGTTTGGGTTGGTAAATGAAATTCTAAATTATTTTCATGACATTTTAGGATCCCGTGATGCATAATCTTTATCTATATGCTATTGATTAGAACAGTATGGAAGTTTAAATAAATTTGCATACTGTTAGTGGATATGGAGGATTAAATTGATTAATGTTATTTAGTGATTTAAACAACTAGGACAT